AATTGCAGACCTCATCATCTCATTTTCTTTAATGAAGGACTGAGCATATTTTAGCCATTGGCCGCATTGAGTTCCCACAACACTTTTGAGACAATGCTGTTCACTCTCACTTCAACAGTAAGGACCACACCAAACTAAAAGTCTGATTTTTAAACCACTTTAAACACCAACAATCACAGAGTAACAATGCTGTCACCATGGTTACCTAATGTAATATCCCTGTGTGTGACTGTAGTCATTATAAATAGATATAATTATGGTAGTGTCCTAATTTATTCCTCTTTATAAGTTTGATTCTTTAAAATGACATTATATACAAATATTTCAAATGTCTTGTTTATTTATATACTTTATTTATACTACTTACATTTCTGTAATTGATCTAAAATATATTTATATGTATTTCCAAGAACGTTAGAAAACATTTTCTATCCAAATTCAATTGGAGTTACTGTCTTTTCAAACATTTCCTTAATATCTGTGCACATACACGCTGTGTGCCTATAGTGTTTACAGTTGCATATATCTCTCTCTAAGCTGCTGTTCAGTGTCAAACTGATTCTGACCAACATTTACCTTCTTTTACACAATCGCACATCTGCATAGTGTTTTTTTACTCCCTAGTCAATTGCTTGATTTTCACTGCTTTGTTCCATGTCCTCTAGTTATTTCATTTAAGAACTTTGGGCTTGTTCATTAATCACAGCCATAGTGTAGCAGAGACTGAATAGACATCTTTAAGATCAAAACATTTATTTGGTAAAGGAGTTAATTAGATCTGATTTTACAATTATTCTTTTCCGGAACATGAAACTGAAATGCCTTTTTTTTTTTTTTTTTTGCCAGCTTCAGGGTTAAAAAAACAAAAAAAAACAATGAAAGCTGAAAATTAACATTTTGCTATTTGGGATGATAAATTGTGAGGGAAATATTGCCTGGCTGTTAACATGTTATTGATGGATAAATCCATGTAGGATGGCTCTGCTTCAGTGTCCTGCACCTCTTTAATCTTTTCCTTATTTTTTTTTTCTGTCACGTCTCTTTTCCTCTTGCATCCATCTCACTCACCTCTGTATTTCCCCTACTTCATCTTTTTAATCTGTCTGGGCTTCTCCAGCTATAAATATTTAGCTTTTTTTCTTTTGCTAGGAAATAAAAAATAGTGTAGCTATAACATAGTTGTGAGACAGAAAGTCTGCTAGTCTTCTTTGTCTCTTAGTGTATTTTGAAACCAGGGGTTGTTCAAGGCACTCAGACCCATCATTCTGCCCATAAACCAAACAACATTGGAGCCTTTTAGAAAAGTTTGTGCTAAAAAAAACAATGTCATACATCTTAAAAATCTAGTGTTGCTGTCAGCATTTTGGCAAGTTTATCTGTCAAAACAGACTCCAAATAGGCTATTGGAGTCTAAATGTTTTAACTGACTGCAATAAATTAAATGTTTTATAGACCAAATATTCTCTTTTGCCCAAAATTGGAATAGCCTGATGTTTAAAATAGGATATGTTTTTGACTTATCTAGAACATTTACAGGTCAGCCTAAAATGTAGTCCTTAGTCAGAAAGCTGACCAATAAATTGATTATAACCATAAATTAAATTTTGTGTTCTTTTCTTGATAGGAGAACCTTTTTTGGAGTGTGTTACTATATTAATCAGCCCTCAGAAAGAGGCCAAACCATTCATCACTTCAAAGCTCAGCTTGCTGGGAATTAGCTAAGAAACACCAGAATTATAAACATAAACCTCTTAACCCAGAGAGACTAATTGTACCACAGATCTCGCCAAGATGAGTTCAGGAAGCCTGCTTTTTTTTATTTATTTTTTTTTTATAAAATGTCCTTAAGGCAATTATGATAAAAACAATATTGTCAAAGAGGATAATTTCTTTGACTTATGAATTCATGGATGGCAGAAAAATGTATTTTATTGTTCAGAACTTCACCTTTAAGATGGCTGAGTATTCATATTGATCTGAACAATGGTGGAATCCATCCATCCATCCATCCATCCATCCATCCATCCATCCATCCATCCATCCATCCATCCATCCATCCATCCATCCATCCATCCATCCATCCATCCTCTTTCTTTCACAACTGTAACTCTGTCATGACCATTTTTTACAGTGTAAAATGCAAACAGCCCAGACAAAGCAGGATATACACTGAAGAAAACATTCCCGAGTTTCTGATCAAAAATATTGTTTTCAGTAGAAAAGCATTGTTCTTAAATTTTCCATGCTTCTGTGGACAGGCCGCGTTTTACTTCATACCTGAACTCATTCTAGAAAAAAGTTTTGAAGAAGCTAGGATATAATAAATGGCCCAAACTTGTAAAATGATTTCTGAAAAAACTTGAGTGTTAGTGGGGGTTTTCACAGAAAAAAAAAGAAAACTGTTTGTGCTTTGCTGAAGTAATGTGCATACAATTTAAAAATATAGCATTAATTCAGTATTAGGTTATGCCATTACTATGCTGTTACCTCTTATAATGTGCTGTAGCTATCTTTGCTTATCTATCTTTTATCAACTCCACTGTGTATGTGTGCATACTGCTATTCTTTATCACAGCCAAGAGCCTTAAATCAAACTCAGTGGGAAAGTTGAGACACCAAACCTATACAAAGAGACTGAGATTGTACAAATTTCTACTTTTGATTTTTACAATAATTTGTTGAACTGTGTTTGATATTAAAATTAAAACTGCTTTTATCTCTGAGACCTCTCTCTATCAACCCAATTAAAATCAAATGTTTCAATTTCTTAAACAATCATTTAACCATCACAACTGACTTCTGGTACCATTAAACTTATAACTTAAATATCAAGTCTGTGCAATACAAACTAACCACTTTTATTTTTTCATATTGCTTCCTTAAGCCAAAGTATCTCTTACGTCTCATGACTTGTTCCTTCCTCTGGCCTCCTCTCCACCATCGGTGGCTGGAATTCTCTTTTTTAGCTTATTTTAATAAAAAAAAGTGAAGCGCTAATGCTTAAAATAGAATGAGCATTTGTGTGTAGTAGTCATATGTACAGCACTATGAGGGGAAAACTTTGAACTGGACCTTTTGTGACTTGGTTCAAATTAATCCTGAGGTGGTTAGTCAAAACACTCCCCTGGAAACAGGTCAAATGTCCTGAATTAAAAGCCCACACATGTACCCAGTGGCATTCTTTTTTCTTCCCTTCTCTCTCACTGTTTTTAATACAAACAAATTTAATCAATGCTATGGCTGCACCCTCGTTACTTGGTTCTTTCAGCTCTATGAATCTAAGAGTGGTGGTGAGTGATGTTGCGTGTGTTGGGCTAATATGACTATAAAAGGCTTGGGGGCTGCAGAGCCTTTACACTAATCCAGCGGCGCAGCTTGTTTTATTGGTCGTGCCTGTCTGTCTTTACTCCTCTATGTGTGTGAGTGTGGATTTATGTGTTTGCGTGTAAGAATGTTTCTATGTGTAGTACAGACAATGATACAGGTTAATTCACTCTATGTCCCTTGAGTGCCTTACTTACTACAGATAAAAATGTTTTCTTTTAGGAACAAAAAGTTCAACATTAAGACTTCATAGGCACCAATTAGACCAAAGCTGATTTTAACAAGTGTGTTCACGATAGCAGCACGTGTGGTACTTTGTTGTGGAGTTGAAAGAAACATTCATTCACTCACATTTGGACACGTCTAAGGAAACAGTGTGACCAAGAATGGTTAGGGCTGCAACTTCAAGTTTTGTCTCTTGGGAAGTGACTTACCCTGTTTCTCTATCATGAACACAAAAGACCCAAAATCGAAGCAACTACTGTACCTAAATTCTTATTTAACTCTCTAGATGCACTTCAGTTTTGCTTGTTTGATTGCAGTCCATCATCACTAACAAGAACAATCGATTTTCTTGATGATGGTATGGGTTTTCAGCACAGCTATAATTTTAACTCATCTCTAAGTATGGATCTAAATATTAAATGACAGCAGTGGTACTTTCATTTGAATAGTTTTAAATTAGCCATTTACCTCCAAGGTATTATTGTACTAATTAAAGTCTGTCTAAATATTTTGAATGCATTGAAAACATTGACAGGAAGATATTAGAGGTTTATTTTTACTTTATTAAGCCTGTAAGCCTGACAGCCATCAACTTTTGTTTCCCCACATTGAATGTTCCAAAAATGTTGACATAATGGGTTTTTTTTATGAGTGATTAATTACTTAGCTTCATCTGTAGAGGAAAGTAACAGTTCAGGGTGTCTGTTGCCTCTGGCATTTTCTTATACAAGCAGGCACATTATAAAACACAGATGTTTAATTGCTGGTGCTTCAGTTGCAGCTACAGACATCCTGAGTTAGCTTGAAACACAGGAAAATAGGATCTAACAAGAATTAACAGGAGGAACCAGCAAGGAGAGTCTGAGAAAGAGTAGTATATACACTGGAGAGCTTGATTACTTGAACAAGGACCAAATAGTTCATTAGAAACAGGCTGCAGGTGTGAGCTAAAGCTCAAGCAGAAACAAGGCTTATCTCATCAAAATAAGAAACTGCAGAATACTAAGAATACAGAACAATAAACAAACCTCACACCAACCCAAGATCCTGACATAAACCTAACCTAAACTCAATTCACAAAATCCCTGACCCCAGACCAGCACTTTGTCTTACCAGACCCGGGTTTTGGGCCCCATAAGGAGCACTTGGTCCCCACAGCATATGTGGGGAAAGGAAAATGGTCCTTGCAATGTATCATCTACAAGGCCACACACACGCACCCTCATTATGAAACTCAAACAGTAAGTTTTTTGGTGAAAAACCCAACATTCATTATTATTTCCATTGTGTTCTTTAATACTGACTATAAATATGCATCATGGATTACAGATTCCCCTTAATGTCTAAAACAAACTGATCAGATCTAAAGGTGACAACAGCAATAACCACATTATTTGAAAATCCTGAAAAAGATGTGTAAAATGTAACTTGAGCATTCTGTGTTTCCACAGCTGTCGGATGGTGGGAAAGCAGCAAAAGGTGGTGTTGCAGTTGGAGACACGGTTCTCTCCATCGACGGTGTTTCCACAGAGGGCATGAACCACCTTGAGGCCCAAAACAAAATCAAGAACTGCACAGGGAACCTTAGTCTCACTCTGCAGAAGTAAGCGATGACCCCACGCTTGTTGGTTTCTCTGATGACAAACTATTTATGTTACTGCATTTTTGTACTATTATGTACAAAAATGACAGATTGTCTTTGTCCCCACGGAATACACAGGCTGACCAAGAATACTTTTAAAGTCAACGAAAAATAATTTTTTTTCTGTAACAAATTTAAATACCTTCCTGTTAAACTCTGAGCATCCCCATCCAGGCAGTCAATCACTGTTGTTACAGTAGGGAGTTATTCTTAGTTTTCACACACACTGACACCATTAGTTATATTCATTCCCTGATAGAAAGAAAAATAACAAAAACAACAAGAACAGAATCTAACACGTGGATGACCAACTTTTCCCGAAAGTCTAATTCTAAACTAGAATCCTCCACTGCGTCTATGATTTATCACAAGCATTTCTCCTAAAGAAATGCTTGTGATGTGTGGCTTCATCTAGGCTCTCATGTGGTTTCAATTGTCTAGTTCTCTGGCAGCAAATGTAGACGTGTGTGTTTTTACTTAAACACTGTGAGATGTGCAAGGCTGCAACGCATTCCCTTCATAAAAGAATGAAGAGCATTAAAGTAACCAGCCCATTAAAAGCATAGCATAAATTATTGTAGAGAAATCTTACGAACTACTCAGTTTCCTTTTTTGTGTGTCTTTTCTTGTCTGAAATTCTCATTTTGGTGTCCCTCTTCTGAGTTCCCTGTTTCACTCACCCCCTCCACATTTCAGCCAGACTGAGCATGTCTTCTAATCTGCATCCAAACAATGACAAAATGAAGATGTTTACATTCGGCCTAATGGCAAAAAATGTCTGCTGCAGTAAACAAAGCTTTGCCTTTTATAAACCAGTGTCAGTGTGGGACCTTCTTTTGGAGTAAATCATTGTGAATGAAAGATTTTCCAATTTCTTTGTTCAATGAAAGAAAACTTAAATGAAATTCAAAATTACCAACAAATTACATTCCGATGTGAGATTTTCTGTTTTGAGCAGTTTAAAAACAGCTAAATAAAATTTTGCTGTTTTTAAACTCATGTCTTACGAGAAACATGGGGAATGTACAGTGAAAAATTACATATTTTTTTTCATATTACTACCACAAGTTTAAATGAATTTTATTGTTTTTGCACAAAAGTAGCGCATTATAGTGAAAGCGATATAAAATGATATCATTTCTTGCCCCCAAAATTTCCTGAAAAGTAAATCCAGTGATACTGTCGTCTTCAAAAATAACTTATTAGAAAATAAAAATGTACTTTTGAGTAATTTCGTCTCAGCATAACAACAGATGGGCAGTGGAGGCCTGGGAGGTTGCTTAATAAAACTATATTTGTAAACCATTAAAATGGATGTTACTCTCAGGCAAACTAAAATGTTTTCACAGTGATGCACCATTTATTCTTGCATGTAGGAAACAATATTTCAGGTAGAGTGGTTGCATGAGTTCAAAACTTAAATAGCTCGTGTCGTGTTTCATTCTAAAAACCAATTTTTAGCCAGACTCCCAAATAAGTCTAATCCAATGTAAGACAGGTTAAACAAAATATGTTCTGTGACCTTGGCTTACGGTAAAACCACGTTTGACGTTTCTACATAAGCATATAGAATTTCTTACTCTAGAGATATAGATGAAACAGTTTACCGGCTAAACTTACAATTAGAGCTATTAGAACCATAATTATAAAGATTACAATGCTTTTCATTCATTATTTTAACTCTATAAAGTCAAAATGACTAATATATTTTTAAAGATTTGATTTACACCTAATTTACAAGTGTATCCGTTTCTGGGTTTTTATTTAGTTTGTTGTTTGGCCCTCATTTGTACTTTGATAGACATTTTGTGTATTCAGACAGTGTCACACTGGGGTCAACATCTGGGCTTTATTGAGTTTAAACAGTGGAACAAACCTCCTCATCCCGTTGTCTCTTTTAGTTTTTATGGGAGTCACTCTGTTCTCTTTTTACTTCTCCTTTCCACCAGCACATTTTGATTGGGTTTGTCAGTGGGTCACATAGCAAATGGAATGATAACAGTGAACAGACAGAGAGAAAAGTTAACGATGAATGTGTCTCCTGAATGTCTTTAAAAATAGATTGCTTATTTCTTTTCTAAAGGGTTAATTAGAGAACTGATGGATGCCAGATGTGTAAAAGACAAGATATAAAAAAGTACCAAAGTAAAATGACCTTTTCGGGGAACTATTTAACTAAATGAGAATAATGTGTACTGGCTAATGAAAAACAATTTAAAGTGGGGAAAATAATCTACGAAACTGATCTACCTCCGTCAAGTAAAAATCTGGAAAAGAGATTAAATGTATTAGACACTGCAGTATGTGGTAGTAGATTTACTCACAGTCCAATTTTTATTGAACCATCTGAGAGGCTTTATTTCTAAGGAAATATGAAATGTATCATAATATTACATTTGTTGTGATTATCAAATGAGATGTGTAAAATACCCAGAATGTCTGACCCAAGCCATACTTAAAACCTTCAGACTTCCAATTTGTTTGGCAAAGAAAGTTAGAAAGAAATTGTTTAAAAAAGTATTTTATTAATTCTTATAGTAGCTATGAGAAAATATTTTTTATAACTGACATACGCAAGTTTTTATTCTGATTTAACGGTGCTCGGCTCTGGAGAACCAGAACAACTCTGCAAGTTTGTTTTTTTGTTTTTACAACATGATCTATTAGAACCAAAACCAGAACCCGCTACGAGCTGAATAATAGAGCAGAAATTGTCCAAAGAGCTAGCAAAGAAACCACAGGCATATATAAAGAATAGACGCCTCATGGACCGCTCTGGCCTATTGTCGCTGACATCACTTAGAGCCACCATCTTGGAGTGGCCCGCTCCACTCGGTGCTGTTAGAATGAAGTATCAGCACATTTAATTAATCATAAATGGCTAAATACTTAACAGATTATATATATATATATATATATATATATATATATATATATAT